TATAGTTAAATGTAAGTTTATTTTAAATGTTTACATTTAAGATTATTAAATATATAGATATTTGAGACAGTTTACTTTTAAAAATATGAATGAATTATATATATGTTTGTGTATCTTTAGAATTATTTTTATAATCAATGCTGTTTTTAGGGTCATTAAAAACACATTCTAAATTAATAGCCCTTAAAGGGAAAAAAGTAAAAACAGAAGTTACTTTGAGCCATTACATACAGTGTTTAGCAATTAGCACAGATGGAAAGTTTCTGGTGAGTCTAAGAATGAGTTATCTTTTACTTTGTACTGTGCGCAATAGATTAATATTTAAATCTTTTCTCATTGCAGGTTGTAGGAGATAGGAATTGTAATGATATAAAAGTACTTTGTGGCAACACTTTGAAACATATAAAAAATCTACAAGGTCATAGAGGTTCTGTGTCTGGATTGGTATTTCGCAAGAACACTCACACTTTGTACTCTGCTTCTACTGATAGGAGTATAAAAGTTTGGAACCTGGATGATATGGCTTATGTTGAATCTTTGTGAGCGATTGTATTTGCAAACATGACTGTGCATGCATTTTTATCGTTAGTATTTTCAAATAGTTTCTTTCTAACCATTATATTTTTCTTTACAGCTTTGGACATCAGGGTGGCATCACGTCCATCGATGCGCTCTCACGAGAGCGTGCCGTCACAAGCGGTTTCGATAGTAGTATCAGGATATGGAAAATAGTCGAAGAATCGCAACTGATATTCAATGGACATAGCAATAATTCCATCGACGAGGTTAAACTCATTAATGAGGAAAATTTCTTCAGCTGTGGCAGCGACGGACAACTCTGCGTCTGGAGCTCTTTAAAGAAGAAACCGTTGTGCACTGTGACGGAGGCGCATGGGAAGGATGAAACTAATAACCAAGCGCTGTGGATTTCAAGCATTGCAGCATTATTAAATACAGATTTAGTGGCATCAGGTACGTTATTATGTAGAGATAGTATAGTTATTATAGTTATTAGCGTTTACCTGTATTTTTCTTCAATATTGTTTGTGATCTTTAGGTTCGCGAGACGGCAGCATTAAACTGTGGCAATGCGGCGAAGCATTTAGATCGTTAAATCCGCTGTTTGAAGTTAAAATACCAGGATTTATAAATGCACTTGCTTTTACGCCTGACGGAAATCATCTTATTGCTGGCGTCGGTCAGGAGCACAGAAACGGTAGATGGTGGCGAGTAGGAAACGTGAAAAATTGTATTATCGTTATACCATTAATACGTAGTGAAAAACATAAATAATTGACTGATAAATAGTTATGTATATACATGTATCATATATTTTTTATCTTTAACCACTATTTTTTTAAATAAAAAAAATACCTCAGATTTTAATCTACAAAGATTAATTGGACGAACTTATCCGGTTAAACAACTAAGCGATGTAAGAGTTTAAAAGTTTTCTTTAAAGAAATCTTATCTGCAGTAATTTAGTAGCAATAACTACGAAAATTGGAATTAAACTTCCTACCTATATTCATGTTTTTGATTTTACCTCGTTATATGCAGGACATGAAATCATCTGAAGTGGGAAAGTAAAATAAGAGTTTTCGAATAATGTGTTGAAATGATATGTAGATATACGAGGATGGAACGAATTAAAAATGTGCAATATGTTATCCAAAAACTCCTTAGGAGCCGCTAAAAGAATATCGTCAATATATCTAAAATAAAAAGACAATGTCACCGGAATCATGTTAATAGCTCTTTCTTCCAAATCTTGAAGAACTAGTAGGTATTCAACACAAGATTGGCATAATTATTGGCTTGGTTGATTGGATGTTTTATCTGAATCATTCTTCTTTCCATAGGAAAAATTTGGATTTTATCATTTTGACGTTAATTAATAATAATTATCCTTTTGACTTAATTTTTAAAGTTATTAAACGTAGACTCTAGGTTTCTTATTGTGAATGATGGACGAGTTACAGAGACAGTAGAAACAAATTTGACAGCTTGTGGGTGTGATAAAAAATATTTTACCTTACCATTTTGTGGTTCAATTTCGAAAAGACTGACAAAGCTTTTTAGAAATAATTTGACAGATATTGTTTATTCTTGAACTAATAAATTATCAGGATTAATTCGTGTGCATAAAAACAGGTTGCCTCTTGGTTTCCATAATAACGTTGTATATAGGTTGCAATGCAGTGGCTGTGATGCTTCTTACGTTGGTCAAACTAGTAGAAGACTCTCTATACATATTGGCGAGCATAGGAGAATTCCTAAGAGTTCTACGGTGGAGTTAACGGCCATACAGGAACATCGTTTGAGGAAGAACCATGATTTTGATTGGGATCATGTCAAAGTTTTACATGAGGAACGCTTTTACTTAAAACGCCTGATCTCAGAAATGATTTTCATCAAATTTCAGAAGCAAGGTCTTAACTCACAAAAGGATAGTGAATATTTGGGCACCAGCTACTACGGCTTCCCTCATAGAAATATCATACTAAGAATCATTGATAATTACTTATTTTCAGTATTAAAAATACTGAATAATAAGTAATTATCAATGATTCTTAGTATGATATTTCTATAAGGATTGTTATGAAAATAAACTTTGTTTTGATTTCTTTCTCTTCCACAAGTCATTTCCGCAATGTTAATGCTAGGCATATAAAATCTGTAATTATTTGTATTTCGAAGACGTGGCGATGTTATCGTTGACAGGATCGGTTTACTTTTAGCTGAACTCAACAAAGATATTTTATATTGTCAGTTTTAATTATATATTATATTTCAATTTTACTTATTTTTATTTTAATTTATATATTTTTTATAGTTATGACGGCTACTTCTCAATATTAATTTATTACTTAATATTATTTCGGTAACGGTCTTGTCGGCTTTAATATTGCGACTAACATTCATGTCAATTTGTGCAGGTCTTTTACTAATTGTAATGCATTCGTGTCGTAAACCTTGAGTTTTATTATCACTGAAGAGGGTTCATGGTTGAGCCGAAACGTATGATTTTTTTATATTGATTATTCATGTTCAATAAATATTACACGATTTCCTAACACAAGGAAGGTTTTTTACTCATATGGTATATAGCACTATTAGTCCTGTGCTGGAACTCGAATTGCCCTTTTCCTATTTTTTGAATAATATTAAGGGTGCGGTCCAACAACCGCTACAAATGCTGTGCAACGTTTCTCTCTCTTGTTCTATTCCTCGGATTCGAATGAAGAAAGACAAAGAAGTAAAAACGCTACAAGCATTTGCAGCGTCCGCTGGACCACTTTACCCTAATGGCTCCTGCACATAGGACGCGGTAATGCTTGCCGCGCGGCGGAAGTCCGCGCGACAGCCAATCAATATGTTGTTTTTCCGTAAGAGCTAGAAGGTTATTACAGAAAGCAGCATATTGATTGGCTGTTGCGCGAACTTCCGCCGCACGGCAAGCATTACCGCGTCCTATGTGCAGGAACCATAAGTAAAAGGTGAAAAAGGTAAATAATAACTAAGGACTATTTCATCAACTCCGATTAATTCTCGGTTAATTCAATCGTCGTTTTACTGCAGTTAGTTGCCAACATAGAAAGTAAGTACAGCTTGTTATTAAAAATGAAAAAAGTGCTTTCTCTCCAATTCACACATAACTTATATTTCGAAAAACTTGTATACCGGAGAAATTTCGAAATTAAAAATATAAGATTGAATTATGACACAGATAGTTAAAGAGAATTACAAAAAAATATTTTTATTTACAGTATTTAATATTACTTTAACCCATATTTTTAATTCTCCAATTTACAATAAATAAGTCTTTAATGATTGTGATGTGATTAGGTCACATTTTAGCACATTTATCAATGTATAAGAAAGAATTGAATAGATCTTATCACTTACGTTAACGTTTCACAAACAATAAATATAAAACTGAGGTTAAACATGACAAGTTTTGATACCTTTAGGATTTTAGTTGACCACGTTGCTACTTTAACTGTTAATTAGATTAACCAGAAGTTAACCAGAGTTAATGAAATAGGCTAATACAGTATCAAATTAAATTAAAAACTAATAAAAATATATACTCCAATCATTTATGTCTTAAATTGATAATATATTTATGTATGTTAATATTTATCATACTTATAGAGATATAAAGATTACAACGATAATCGTGTAATTCTGTAAATTTAAAAAACATAGTAACATGTTAACTCCACGCTTTGAGATAACTCAAACAGATACAGAAGTTGTAATGATTATACATGCTCCATACACTAATATAAAAGATACAGAAGTGTATGTTGATGGAACAGACTTCAGGTTTTACTCCACACCATACTTTTTGAGGTAAATTGCAAATTAGGACTTTATTCATTGATAAATATATGAATTATGGTTTGTCATATATTTTTTATATGGGCTAATTTTTTAAATTTATATCTTGTGTATTTTAAAATATAAAAAATAGATTTGTTAGAAAATTGTTATTTTATTTCTTTTTAAAATTATATACATATAAATATAGTGTGATTACATATAAAAATATTATACTATTTATGTTTTGATCTATATTCGATATTTTGAATAAATTTTTTCAGATTAAAATTGCCAGGTGAAATAGAAGAAAATGATTCATCTTCTGGTTCTTATGATTGTGATAAGGGTTGTTATACTTTAAGATTATCAAAGGTAAATAAAGGAGAGTACTTTGAAAACTTAGATATGCTAACTACACTTTTGGCACCAACAAAAGAACATAGTATAATTGCTCCTTCCATTGAAGTAATTGGTGAGTTGCTTAAATATAATATTAAAGTATACTACAATACTATTAATATATACAATTGTACTTGTATATAAATATAAAAATTTGTATATATAAATTGTATTTATATATAAAGTAATACTTTTATATTTTAGGTAATCCATCTACAAGTTCAGCATATATAGATGAAAACTCACAAGATATTATAGATGTTGATATGTCAAATAGTTCTGACTTGGGAGACAACTTGTTTTCTCCTCAGAAACAATCTGCAGGAAATATAACACTTCTTACAAACTTTCCAAAATATGGTTTTGCAAATAAAATATCTGGAGCTTTAACTGCATTTGAAGTATGTTTTTAGAACTTATTCTTTATAAGCAGTAAACCAAATTTATTATAAATTCTTTTCATGACAAGCATATACATATAAAAAAGTTTTTATTTAATAATATTAAAGTTTAATATTGGTTTTTAAATCTTTAATAATATTAAATAAAATAGTTAATCTTATTATTAATAACATGTATATTTTCTTGAATTTAGGAAGCATGGATCAAAGATATAATAGATCTTCCTGCTCCTGATATAACTCCTGAAGTAGAAAGGAAAACTCTGCAGCTATTATGTGAAAATAAAGACTTCAATGAAGATCATTATTTAGCAGATCTTCTTGAGCCAGAATGTGGTGAACACATTGCATTTGTAGGAAAATGGGACACATTAGAAAAAGATCAAATTGTATTTGATGAAGTAGAATTTGATTTGTTGAAAGAACTTCCAAATAAGGAATATTTATTAGAAGTTGAAGATATCAAGAAATTATGTTTAAATATTGTTGATATTTTATATGCTAGTTGTTATAATCACAGAACAACTTTAGGAGAAAATAATGTAGAAAGTGGCTGGACAATTAACAAACTCAGTTCTACGTTATGTTGGTTTCAAGTATGTAAAAAAAAACATTTAATTTTTCATTCAAAAATTTGATTTTTCATTTTATTAAAATTATTAAATAATTTCAGAATTTTACTTCAATAGATGAAGTTATAAAAGCATGTTTCCGAAGATCACTTTGTTATCCTCTTTATAGAAATTGGGAACTTTCGATGAAAGTTCTTGAAGATGTCAAAAAGGTTGTCAAATTAGGTAAGTACAAATTAAAATAGCAATATAGAAATATATTGGCCAAATTTTACTACTTCAGATATTTTCATGTGCAGGAAAGAAATATGTTATCAAACAATTCTGTGAAATACACAGAATTTTCAATACATCATATGAACCACGGTACATATTAAATCAACTATACATCAAAGATTTTTTAATTTGGTTGCAATCGTGTCCTGAGTCGTTAATAGAATCATTTCAAACTATGTTAGATAGTGTAAGTTCCCTAAAGAATTATATTTTTTATATGTTCTTATTTGATATTTCATCTTTAGTAATTTTTATCAATTATAAAGGTTTATCCTGACAAAGCAAATATGGGACTCAACTTGGTAGAATTGGAAGCAGCAGGTCATGCTGTTCAAAATGAACTTATAATAGCAAATACTATTCATGATGCAACTGGACAGATGAATACATTAGCTCTTGAAGATATTGAAGAAGAAAAGTAAGCAAATTCTATTTTTTTTGTTTTATAACTATGTCAGATTAAATTCTATAATATATATATTTTTTATGCATTTTATATAATTTTATTTTAAAGGCCTAAGAATATATATCATGTTAAACAAAAACAGTTTTTTAAACATTTGTAAGTATTTTAATATATTTAGCTTAACCATTAACATAATCGCTGTTTAAATACGCTAACCTATAAGCGTAGATGAATACTTTCATATAATTTGCTTTTATTTATTTTTTATTGCATTATATATATGAGGGTGTATGTATATGTGTGTTTATATATATATTATTACACATACATTAAATTACAATTGCTATAACACATATGTACATAATGAAGGAAATTACATACATACATAATGCCTTATTTCCTTCATTATGTATATATGTGTTGTAACAATTGTAACTTAATGTGTATGATTGAAACAAGATCTTAATATGTGATACTGGAATAGATGAATATAATTTATGTGATATTATTAACGCTTATGGCACACTTATGGCCATGTACATTTTGATATTGAATTTGTTGATGGATTTATTGCAAGTTGTTTTGGACTATACTGCATGTCCTCTGTTCCTTTTTCTATACAAAGAAAGCCAATGCAATTAATCTATTATCTTGCAATTTCCATTATTAGTTTTTTTACTTTATACTTATAAAATATGTATGTATATATGTGATGAAAGTCATCCTAAATCTGTTAGGAGCGTATTCAATGAAATATACGATATCACAACTGTACTAACGGATTCAGAAAAAATATAACAATCTTTATTATATTTTTATCTATCAAGTAAGAAAGACAATATTTACATTGTCATACTGTCATAACGAATTACCAAACATGCCTGTAAGCAGTGGTTTGCAATTGTGATTATTTGATAGGTTCCTGATTTCTTTGGAAGAAATGTGTTCAAACCATATGTTTTGTAAATAAGTGTACATATTACACCACAGATATATATTATGAAAAATTATATCATAAAGTAATTACGTAACAATATGTATTATGCCAATAGTTGATAGGAATGTACAAAATATATTCCCCTGTTACTACAACTATTACTGCTTTGTTTTCATGTTTTGACTCTATATATAGGTGCAGGTTATCATCAAGCAGTTCAAGTTCGACGGACAGTACTGATACAGATTACGAAACAGATTCTGGAAACTACTTAACAAAAACTACCACATCAAGTAGTAGTGATTCTACTAGCAGTGTTAGCGATCTTGATTCTGATAACCAGTATTCTCAAAAGTGACGACTCCAGTGATTCTGAAAGTGGCGACTTGAATAAACCTTAATTAATTGCGAATAATTGTCTATTTTGTTTATATGTAAAATATTTTATGTAATATTTTACAAAATAAATATTGACTTCTCTTTATTCAAAATTATGTAATTTTTTAGTCTTTAGCTAATTATTTTGTCACACATACACATATTTGAATTTTATTTCATACTTAGCGTATATCTTTGTTACGTATGTTTTGTTTTTTTATGTAATAAATATTTGTTAAAAAATTTTGTACAGAGATATTTCTACATACAAATGAACAAAAATTGATATAATTACTATAACATTTCATTATTATAACATCAGTTACTATGATTTTCAACATTTATTGAAAATTACAGTTATAAGTGTCGACTTATAAATGTTAAATCATATATATGCCAGTCTCCCTTTTTCTCTTTCTTTCTCTTTCTTTCTGTATTCTCTGAACTAAATATATATAAAATCTGTGGAATTTAATTATTAGAGATATTCTACTAAATTAAGTTCATATATTCTAAAGTTCATATTTTGTTCGAAAGTTGTCATGTATGTATATATATAGCAAAAATACAAAAAATAAAATAATATATGTACAGCTCTTCTTTTCATCAACATATATAAGATTGCATTCTTGTACGTGTGACGGTTTGTACATGCGATATTTATATTACGCACATTATAGATTTAAGTAAATTAACATATAACTACCAACGTCACATGTAACAACGATTTCTCACTAGAGCCCATGTCGTCACATATATGTGATGATACAATTTTTTTCTATGCTATATTATCAAACTGTTTTATATAATTATATGAAAAAAATACGAGGTGAGGAGAATCTTCTAAATAAACTGTGATAGTGAATATGTCAATATATTTATTTAACTAAGTTAAATTTTAACTTAAAAGTTTAAATTAACTTCTTTAAGTTAAAATTTACATGAACAAAAACTATCTTAATTGAACGTTAAATTAAAATTGAGTCAACTGATTAAAGTTAATTATGTAAAATAATATGCTTTTTGTATAATTAATTTTTCGATCATAGATTTAATTGATATAAAATAATGAAAATTTTGTTTTGTTTTTTATAAGAAAATATTGATTGTTTTGAGTTCAGGATTCTACAGGAAAAAACATTGTTGTTAAAAAAAATTCTGCTGGTAATATTTTTATTTTGCTTATTTTACATTGTAAACAACTGCAATGATTTTAATATTTGATGGGTTATTCTAACTTATTAAAAGAGCTAACAAAAATCAAAGTTAATGCATTTTAAAACAGTTAATTAAAAATCGACTTATTTAAAATTATTTAAGTTTAATCGAAAGTTACGTTAAGAGTTAAAAGTTAACTTGTTAACTAAACTTTTAATTGACTGACGTTATTATTCAATCCTGGTACATAATGTTGATTCGTAACAATTAGAAATGCAATGTCCGTGAGTCTATATGTCGAAAATCAATGTCGAATCTATATGTCAGCTGGAGATTGGATAAAGAATTATTTGAAGAATTAGCAACTCGCGAAGAGAGAGACGAGCCATTGGCTATTAAAACATGAACACGTGTGCACTGCTGAAGAAACGTCGGACAGAGGCTCCTTTGTTCTCTCATGTTTTCGCATTTTAACTCTTTAACGCGATTCTGATGCTCGTATTGGCTCCAGTAGTGTCTCGTCTCTGTGCGCGACCGATCGGTCTATTCGCGTCGCGCTTTCACAACCGGGCAATACGCGCAAATAACTTGCGCGAAAGTGATGACGTCTCCGGCCTTCGAAGTGACTGATAAAGCTTCTCGTTAGAGGGATACAAGGTTTAATTTATTAATGAGCGGGCAAATTTCTCGTTAGGAAGTTGGACGTTGCGAAGAATGCGCTTGCTCGACGCTGTTCGCGCGTTTCTAACTCTCGGTTGCAGAGCGCGATAACACAAAACAATCTCCAGGAGATCTTGCTCGGTACTAATGGTGATAATCCGTTCGGCTTATAACAAATGGGTTTCTTTATAAAGATCTTGTTACCGACGATCGGAACGCTTCTTCTATTTGTACGTTTCACAAAATGCGAAACCGATGTGGTCGCTGAAGGAACGAGCGGCAGCTTGAAAATCGGCGCGAATCGCAGCAATGTAACGTCGACATTCTACAATATCGATCGAAAGAAGAATGGAGATCAGGGTTATTGGTACGAACATCTGGATGATGTGGACACAATGCTGAAAAGCAAAACCGATATCCTATCCCGCCGTTTGAAGATTGATATAGACCGATTACGAAATAAGACCGATCAGGTAGATAAAGGAAGGATAGATCTAATGTGTCTTTTTCTTTCTTGTCTTTCTTCAACAAAGCATGTGAGAAAAGTGTGTAAGTATTTAAGGGGATGCCAAAGCCGATGACGAGTTCCAAAAATCGTCGATAATGTATAGAGACGATTGTCACTGATACGTTCACGCTACCATTTTCATATTTCTTGTACACTCAGTTATTAAACAGTGGCATCATAATGAAGTTGCAACGCTCTTGATTGTCACAATTGAGACACTGCAGAGAGTCAATTCTGTATCTCGAAACGAAGTGAAAATTACAAAAGTGAGCACATTCACTAGGCACTGACCAATGAAATTACGAATATTCTAGTATATTTGCTCACTTTTGTAATTTTCACTTCGTTTCGAGATACAGAATCGACTCCCTGATGCGTTCGCGATGTAATTAGCTAATAAAAGGATATATTTAAGCCTTCAAAATCTATACGTTCGTAATTTAAACTATAGGAAGATAACAATGTTTGAATATTATATTAATGAAATTTATTTTCACACTCTATACTGTCACCTCGACTCCTGTCATAACTGATTACAACGCGAACGTGTCAGCAGTGTTTCTTAATAATTCTTTAACTAGGAGCGCTGCAACTTTATCTGGAAAAATGTGTGATCACCGTTTAGTAACTGAGTGTACGTATATTAGATATTATATAAATGGTTACTATATTATATTATATTATGTAAATACTATACTATATTATACTATATATATTATACTATATTATTGGATGCAGCAGAGGTGTCCAAAATATATCATAGGAATATCCTAAATATATATTTGGGATATGCGATATCTTCAAGATATACTTATAATGTTTGGGACATTCCTGCTGTGTGGGATTATGTAAATCCCAGACAACATAATGTCTAAAATCGGAACATAAGACGTCTTAAAAATCATCTTTAAGATGTCTTTCAGACGATTTACGTATAAATATCTTTAAAACGTCTTAAAGATTATCTTTAAGACGTCTTATGTCCCGATTGTTGTTTGGGATGGTACTAGATATTATATAAATGATTACGTTCAGCAGAAAAAACGCTTTGCGTTGTGTTGCCAGCAACGCTTTGCGACTATTCGTGAGATTTTCTGCTGAATGATACTTAGCGATTTACACTTCTGCAACATGTTTATTAGGCGGTCCAGCATTGAAAGTATGCGACCGCTTAGCAAACATGTTGAAAAAGCGCAAATATCGCTACTGTCGTTCAGAACAAAGTCTTACAACAGTTGCAAAGTTGCTGCTAGCGCAGCGAAAAGCGCTTACTAAGCTGCTTTTTCTGCTGAACGCAACCAATATGTACCGCTTTGTTCAATCATATTTAGCGGAAAATCTAACCACGCGTATAGATAAATCTTTTTGCGAACTTTTGGTGTATTTTTAAACTTTCAACTTTCACAGTTGTAAACGTACAGCTATGTTCTTTGAAATTTTTTTGAGCAGGACAAATACACACACAGAATGTACAAGTTACAGACATCTCCAGCTATCAGTTAGCGCAAGAATTTGCCTGGAGCAATTCAATCGATTCAATCGAAGAGTGTTCGATTATTTAAGGTCACAATTGGTTTTGTGAATAATATTCATTCTCAGAGCATAGTGGCATTGTGGAAAAGCTGATGATTGAATAAGACCTGTGTTGGAAGGAGCATATCAATCGTCACCAAGCAATCTTTGATTAAGTTAATTGAATTTGCTCATATTAATTGTCAAATAAACATTCTTTAATTAAATTTGCTAAGTTCAGTTGTCAATTAAATGGCTTTTAATTAAATTTGCTAAGTTCAATTGTTAATTGAACAATCTTTGATTCCCTTTGCTCACATCATCTACGCTCATACAGCGCAGAAGTTACGTTGCAGGAACGTTACATCATTTCAAATTTCAACGTAACATTGCAGAAACATTACATAGACATTGAATTATAATATTCCATCGGAATATAATTGTTAAAACAATATTGCAGAAACATTATAAATAATTAAAAACTATAATGCTATAATTTATGCATAATACATGTCTGATATATGCATTTTGTATCTTAATCACAGAAATTTAAGTATTTACTTATGTCTATATTTTCTTATATCTTTATTATGCCTTCATAGTGTCCCCAGGTCTTTAGACGTCACCTTGCTATCCTGGTAAGAAAAGTTTATAAAGAATGATAGAATAAAATTCTATCGTTCTATCGTTTTCTATCGTTTTGAATATGGATTTTGGTTCGTGAATACATAAATGTGAATAGTATTCTATCGTATACAATAGATAGTGATAGAATTTCTATCGTCAGTTTTCTATATAATACAAATAAAACCCGATTCTTATAGAACCAGATAAAATATGATAGGATTTATATCTGATGCTCGCGAATGCTGACGCTTGCGAACGATAGAGCTTATAGAAAACAAATTGATAGAAATTCTATCGTTCTCAATCATTCTCTATCAACCTTTTTTACCTGAGTCTGCATGCTGCGTTATCTATTGGTCTGTTCTTTTCAGCTGAAGTGGTTGCGCTAATTAAAAAATGTATATACACATTAAAGCGTATGAAACATATGTACGAAATTCTCATGTTTTAGTCTGTGTACATTTCTTGAACTAGAGCAGTCAAATCAACTAAAAAAAACAAACTATATAACATGCCATCTATACTTGTACATTTAACAAAAAAAAAACGCATTTAACCTTATTATGCGCTGCTAGTAGCTTTGTAAAATTTTCTACGGAACAACATCGGTGGTTTACGCTAATGTTTACATGTTTACTAAGCAGTCGCTATTTCTTCTAACATATATTAAAAGAATATACTTTTAACACGCCGGACTACTTAATAAACATGATGGAAAAGCGTTAACCGCTAAGTATTTCTCAACAGAAATCCTTACAACAGTTGCAAAACTGCTAACAGTGTAGTGGAAAGCTGCTTTTTCTGCTCAATGCAACAATTAGATTACATTTCACCGTAACGTTGCTACAATATTTCATTGCAACGTTTCTAAGGGCGGATATTTCAAAATTGCTGTAACCTTGCGATAATGTTGCATCAATGTTTCGCAACATATATGGAATGTTACAATGTTTCCGTGTAATATCTATGCAATGTTCCTGCAATCTTTCTGTGCTGTATGAGCGGTCTTTGATTGAATTCGTTGAAGTCAATCGTCAATGAAACATTTTTCGGTTGATTTTGCTTGAATCAATCGTTAATTAGTTAAATTTAAATATAAATATTTGTCCAAATCAGTTATTAAAGTTTTTCCTTGGGACCGTGTAATTAATACGACGTGAACTTTGCAGAAAAAAATCAATATCTTGTCGGTAAAGTATGGTCGGTAAAGTTTTCAAGTATGGTATCCCCTTAAGAGCGGCGATATCGGTCGCATCGTCTTCTAATGATTTTCGATTTTACTGATGACAATTTGTCTGGATCATATTAGATAGAACTGGTGTTTCTGGTCGACGCGTCCGGCTCGGTCGGCGTGCAGAATTTCCGCAGCGAGCTGAATTTCGTGACGAAGCTCTTGTCGGATTTCACTGTGGACGCGACGGCCGCCCGTGTTGCGATTATCACTTTCGGCAGCCCCAAGAACGTAACTCGCAATGTCGATCAGATCTCCAGACATGGGAAAAATGATCATAAATGTTACTTGCTCAACAAACAGTTCAATGAGATTGCTTACAGCGGTGGAGGAACTTACACGCGCGGGGCGCTTCTTGAAGCGTTGGTGAGTATCGTTTGCGATAGTTACGTTCCTTTTATATTTTTTGATAATTTTTTTTTAATACTTGCTTTTCTTTACTTTTTATTTATTTTTTAACATTTCTCCTATCTCTGGCTCAAAAGTAATATAATGAAAAGTAACTAATAGATTCTACACGGGAAAAATGATGTTGTATCGATAGGACTGGTCAATAGCGCTATAATTGTAGCAAAGTTAAAAAAATACCAAAATAATTTCCTTCAATTTAATAATCGACTTAAATGAATGCTTCAATTCAATTAATTTCAAGTCAAATTAATTAATTAATTAACACAAACTCAGTTGTGGTGTATTACTTATTGATGAATTATGAATGTTAATTAATTGATACTCACCGATTTTTTTCTTACATTTATGTTTGTTTTGTCTTGATTTTAAACACGATTTGTAAAAATAATAGAATAATTAAAAAGAATACTAAAAAAAGATACACGGAAGAGTAGTTAAAATAACTCATAAAGAACGTTGATGGGACATTTTTGTTCATATAATGCGAATGTATACAAAGATAAACGCATTATAACTTATTTTTCATGTTATATTAACATATGATATTAATTACTTTAATTTATTCGTGACAGAAACTTTTTTTCTTAATAAATTTGATTATTCTATATGTTTAAAGTTTATAATGATTTAAAGACTCGCTTTTTAATATTAAAGTGACTTTATGAAATGTCTTTATTAGAAATGTTATTTTTTTAAATAATTGTGTTAAAAGAACTCAAAATAATATTTTATTTCTAAGTAACATATAAAAAGTGTTAAGTTATTAAGTTGATATTAATATGAAACGGGTGGAAAAAATATCACGGGCGAAAACATCACGAAAATAATAACATATCGGTAATTTTTCATTGACTAAAATGAATAAAAAATAGGTAGTACATGAAAATTTTAACATTTTTATGCAAGAATTCTAACTGTGTATCCACTGAGTACCCACTGATTATCCACTGTTTCAAAGGCAATTCTCGAGAAAGGTCGCGAAGTCGCGAACAAGGTGGTGTTTTTGATCACCGACGGCTTCAGCAATGGTGGTGACCCACGACCCGCTGCCAATCTCTTGAAGAACGCGGGCGCAACGGTATTCACGTTCGGTATTCGCACGGGAAATGTGGAAGAACTGCACGATATCGCCAGCTTCCCAGGATATACGCATAGCTATCTCCTCGACAGTTTTGCAGAATTTGAAGCTTTGGCACGTCGCGCCTTACACCGTGGTGCGCGTTTTAATACATTTGTCACATAAGAACTCACTTTTTCTTTACATTCAAATTCTCCATGCAAAAGAGAACCGCTCGAATAGTAAACTGGACATCTCTTCTTAGATTTAAAAACTGGACAATACGTGCCTGTGACTTTGCCTACCGATTGTAACAGCTTGTGCGCAGAAAGCATGGCGAATCAAACTTGCTGTGACGACCGAGCGATTTGCACTTGCGGCACTGCAACTGGGCATTATGCCTGCATCTGCCCATCTGGTTACTTTGGTTCCGGCCTAAGAGGGGCCTGTCAACGTAGGTTGATTATTGACGCGGAATCGATAGTACACGGAGATCATATATAACAGTATCTGACAATTATTGACATGCTTTTGTTGTGTGGGGGATGCAAGTAGAATTCATCTAACTGAACGCAAAATTCCTTTAGTATTTCGCAAACAATCATAAAATTTTGAATTATTAATTAAAGAAGGGTAAATAATTATGCGTGATACGGTAGATGAGCTGTGATAGCGACATCTGCTGCCGTGTGCTTGTACATTAGACCAAACTAAATAAAAAAATCCTCTACTATTTTACAAATGATCATGTAGATTTTTAGTTATTACTTAAAAAAGATTCATGCGTTATAGAGTATAATCGTGAACAATAGTAAGGGATTCTTTTGTTCTGTTTGACCCAATGTATTATACAAGCACAGCAGATGTCATTACAGTTCTATCATATTCAGTAATCTTGTTTAATTAATAACTTAAAACTTTACATAATTGTTTGCGAAATGGTGAAAGAATTTTGTACTCAGTTTGATGAGTTCTACCTACATACTACTCTCTTAAAGTGAATCAGTGAAACATCATTCAAAGCAGTGAATATACACTGATTTAGTTATAACTATAGCACTGAAACTGTTCGGTGCTATAATTATAACTGATATCAGTGACTATTCACTGATTCACTTTAAGAGAGTACGAGTGTGTTAATAATTATTAAACATCTATAAATTATAGTTGTATATTATAGTTTATTTCCATATAAATTGTTTTTAATTTTAATATTTTTTGTGTAACTACTTACGTATTTATATATGTTTTAGTGCAATATCGTGCAACATATAAACCATTTTTCATCTTTCTATGAAACATAGTAAATATAGCAAATTTTTTAATAGCAAATTTCTAAAATATAAGTAGTACATATGAGATAACAAGATAGTCAATTACGATAGAATGTCAATATATTTGGCGATTATAAAATTCTATTGTAATTTTTATTATAAACTTCTTTCCGTATATTTCGAAGTGTTATTTATTTCAATAATTTTATTGAAGTAGTTTCTCTCAACAGCTTGTTTAAATGGAACGTACGCTTCGGAGAGCGCCTACGGGGACTCTACGTCTGTATGCATACCTTGTCCAGATGTGAATCATATTACCGTTAAAGTACCCGCAATTTCAGTAAAAGACTGCATGTGTGCTTCTGGATTTACCACAGACGGTTTGAAATGCGAAGGTAACGAGGTCATTCGCCTTACCAATTCCAATTGTTCTCAAACAATAACTGTAATATCTATGACAAACGTAGGATCAATTGATGACTATGCTGATAAGAAAATTTAATGACCAAAGTTTCTCTCACAACGAACCTATAAGAAAAAAAAGTAAGCTGCGACAGCAAGAATCTGTGTGTGGTAGCTAAATCTCGTTTGTAACATATGAATGCCTAAAAATATAGTTGCAGTAGACATATATTAACTATGAAACGGACGTAGTAGCAACAGTAGCAAAGGTTTTAGTTACAGCAGAAAATTTTTAGTTACAGCAACAAAACATTTTCAACAAACCACGATTAAGCGCGGCAGTAAAAAATTTTTTTCCGTATATGATTCAAATTCTTTAAAAGTCAAATAACTGAATACGAGCTTGAGATGTCCTAACGTAAAATATAAAATATTCAAAGAGTTAGGATAAGTTAATATATTTTTTTAACTAAGTTAAGTTTAAAGTTAATGTCTCATAAAATTAACTTAATTAAATTAAAAGTTATATAAACAAAAACTTAATTATATTAAAAGTAAAGTTTTGTGCATAATTAACTTTTCAACCATAGGTTTAATTTATGTGAAATAATGAAAAAGTAACCTTTTATTAGAAAACATCAATTATCACGAGTTCAGAATTCCATCTAAAAAAAGGATGTCGCACAAAAGGATGTCGCACAAAGATATTTTTTTTTTAATTTTTCTTATTTTATATTGTAAATAGTCTTCAATGATTTTAATACTTTCATGGATTATTTAAATTTATATGAAAGAAGTTAATAAATTAAAGCGTTTTAAAATATATATAATTAGTTTAAGTTAAACATTGACTTATTTAAAATTAACTTATTTAAGTTAGTTTTTAATTTAACTTTTAATTTATTAACTAATTGTTACTTAACTCTCAAAATATCTATAAAGTGTTCAGTTTCATGAAACATACGTTACTTATAACTTATGTCTACACTGAAAGAAATTCGATAAAAAATTAAAAATTAAACGGACATTTCCGATCAATTTTTATATCCGATCAGGATATCCGATTAAATTTAATCAGGTACCTCCGATCATAATGGCATTTCACCAGATAAACTGATTAAAAAATTATGAACTGATATTTCTCATCGGATGTTTCCTAATCAGATACAAAAATTCATCGGTATTTTGATCGAAAATATTTGTTTCTTAATTTTTTATCAAATAATTTTTCTCAGTTTTCTAGAATAATAAGGAAAATCGATCAATGTTAAAAAAAAAAAGAAATATTCTTCGATATGCTTCAATGTGACTGCATTAAGATACGCTGCTAGGATATTAATTTTAAAACATAAAAAATTATAACGCTTTAACTGGCTGTTATTCTTAAATTCGAAACAATTCGATAATCAAATACTTTAGCTGTTTGAGATTTTTTAAAACAGATATTTTAACAACTATTATCATGTGTTCTCAGCTATAATGTGTCCTAAACTAAGAGTTCCCGATAATGGTTACTTAGTAAAGGCAAGTGCCTGCAGTAATGTGGTGCACGCGGCATGCGGTATAAGATGCAGGATTGGCTTCCATCTCACAGGGGACAGCATTCGATTGTGCGGAAAGAACGGCTCTTGGTCCGGCAATGAACCACAATGTTTATGTGAGTACAAATAATCGTAGATTAAAACAAAAATACTTAAAAAGATGTAAGATCAAACGAACGGTTGAAGTTTCTGCAACGTACAGCGTAAAACGAAAAATATATTTAAGGATGTATTGTCTGCATAATTTTCAAAAATTTATTAAAAATTCCCAGACAACATAATGTTTAAAATCGGAACATAAGACGTTTTAAAAATAATCTTTAAGACGTCTCAAAAACATTTATACGTAAATAGTCTGAAAGATATCTTAAAGATGATCTTTAAGACGTCTTATGTCCCAATTTTAGACATTATGTTGTCTGGGTTAGAAATACGTTAATATCTTTATTTTCGGTATAAAAACATATGGTGTATATATACAATATAGTTAAAAAATAAAATATTTTTACTTTAACATTACATTTTTATAGTTTATTTACTTTATTTTATATTACTTTTGACTTTTAAACTTTGATTTCTGAATTAAAATGAAACTTTGCACACATACAACATACACATCATTTTATATACTTAAAGAATATGTATATAAAAAATTGAGATCTTTATCATTATATTTTTATAAATTAAGTTTTCCTTTAAATCCCATATATACTAAAGAAATCCCATATATTTCCATATAACACGGTTTAAAATATTCCCAAGCAGCAGGATAATATTAAATAATATATTAATGATATGTTAATGACGTGACATTAAAATGTCATTTGATGTCATCATGTTTCTTCAACTTATATTTCAAAGTGGAATAATCTTTTATCCGGACTGAATCAATATCAAATTACTTATAATCGCTTTCCGACGCAATTAATTTGTAATTCTTTCAAAATTTTATCATTATTTTTTAAGTATAAACAATACATCCTTAACACAAGCATCAGATAATTTCGTTCAAAGAACTACTACTTGTCTTAACACATTCGACTAAATCTGTTCCTAAATAAATCTTTTTCGTTTAATACACTGAGGGAAAAATTACCTTAAAATCAACAAATATTTATTTGATGTTGGATGCGATTAATATATTTATTTAAATATAAATTCTTTTTATTTAAACCAAATATTGTTTACTTAAATCAGGTAAACAATATTTGATTTAAATAAAGATAATTTAAATTTAAGTAAATATGTTAACCCATAAAAAAATATTTGTTGATTTTAAAATAATTTTTCTCTCAGTGTACCGATAAATGTGAGTTCCAAAGAAAAACAAGATTTAAATGAAAACTTGACTTGCAGTAAAGACGTGTTCAGCGATACGTCCACCTGTGCATGGTCATATGAAGTGCGAACATGATGAGAATTATCAGCTTCAATTCAAAGAAGATTCCACTGTCTATCCGATCGACACTCGTTGTCAGTTCAAGTGCGATGTTGGTTATCAGCTTCGCGGCAGTAAAGTGCGCAACTGCTTACCTTTATCACGATGGGACGGTCTGAAAGTTACTTGCAAAGGTAAAACATGACGCGCCACTCACATATTTCAGTTTGCGACTTACATGGAGTCGTTACAAAAAAACAACTATTAAAGTTTAAACACATTGGCTTTTGTCGAAAAATTCATATTTTTAATTAATCATATTTGTATCTGTGTGTCAATAAATTCAAAACTGTCAAATCGTGACGGCTTTTTGCCGTTTGTGCACAACAACCCTTATAGAAATATCATACTAAGAATCATTGATAATTACTTATTTTCAGTATTAAAAATACTGGATAATAAGTAATTATCAATGATTCTTAGTATGATATTTCTATAAGGGAAAGTGTTAAACTAATTTGATGAGCTGTTAAAATTAATAATAATATTATTATTGTAGCTGTAAAATGTGAACCTCTGCCCAAACTCGAAAATGGCGATATCATCCCGGAGATATGTTCCGGTACGGCGAAAGTTTCTTTCGCCACTAATTGCACTATTAGTTGTCGCAAAGGTTTCATTTTGATAGGGCCTTCCAGCAGATTATGCGGTGGACATACGGGAATTTGGTCGCAGCGTCATAGTGTTAATCGATGTGTGGGTGAGTATTAAACTTAAGTGTTTATTTAAATTTTAAATCTCAATTTTTTCACGGTATCTATGTCAAACGTATGATGCCTTTTCCATGGTTAAAACCATCATCATGAATGTTGGCTTCTCTTCTTTCTTCTTTGACTGTGTAATATGTACACATAGAAAAATCTCATTTTATTGCTACTTAGTTTATTTTTTTCTTTTTACATAATGGTTATTTTTTAATAAATAATTACTTTTTAATAAATGGTTATTCTTTATTTCTAATAAATAATATTTTCTTGACAATAGCTTTAAAATATGCTCATCACAAATTTGACAATAGCTCATTATTATACAGAAAAAAACACATTTCTGTTTAGAAAATATCTTTATTCTTAATATGTAAATCTTAAAATAAGACCACATAATGTTAAACAAAGATAAATTATTTGCATTGAGGCTTCTGGCTAGTCGCTGTGACTGTCCTTGTTTAAAGACGTCAGAAGCGGGAAAACGCATGCCAAGATTTCGTCCGTTATATTTTTAATTAAAAAGATACATCTACAAAGTGACATTGGTGATCGATTCAGCACACTTGTAAAATTGTTCGAACACTTTTCTTTTGTTCGAACAATCAATAAATAATTAACTTGACATGGAACTTTCCTTTTTAACCTCTTTTCTCAAGATTATGTTAATGTTAATTTTGCGACTATTTATTGATTGTTCGAACAAAAGGAAAGTATTCGGATAATTTTATAAATGTGCTGAATCGTTTACCAATGCCATTTTGTGGATATATCTTTTCAATTAAAAGTATAACAGACAAAATCTTGGCATGCGTTTTCTCGCTTCTGACATCATTAAACAAGGACAGTCACAGTCAGAACTAGCCAGGAGCCTTAATAAATTTTATATAGTTCACCAAAAAAATATATTTCTCCTAGATAGCACAATCTACTAAAAGATGTCTTAAAGACGTCCAAAAGATGTCCTTATTCCTTTTGGATGTCTTTTGGACGTCTTTACATCTTTTAGTAGTTTGTACTGTCTGGGCTATTATTCAAAAATCATTTTTATGAATGGAAAGCATAGAACTTTGAATTTAAAATGATGTTTTTAAACGTCGGAAGAAGATATATATCATTATTATCAAAATAATCATACTGTACTTCTGGTGAGACTATTATAATATTTAAATAAAATTAAAACATTGTTGAAATTCAAAACTTATGTATGAAACAATGATTTTTAATTTGACTATATTAGTATTATATATTTTAAGTGAGTAATAATTTTTGTGTGTGTGTACGTATTTAAAAGAAGTATTTATTTAAAAGAAATATATTTAGAAGCATTTATTTTCCTTACAAAAATATTATAAAACTTTATCAAAGAAAAATTGGTTCGACTCTATAGTAATAAGTAAACCAAATTTTTGTCTTTTAATTTAATATTCTCGAAATGCTAAACTTACTAGGATCTAGCATTTTTAATAAATTTGATGATTATGATTTATGATATATTTGCGAATATATATAAATTTATGAAATACTTGGAACTTGGACCAACTAACACTTATTTGAATGCATAATGTATTTTTCTGTATATAGACAAAGTGCCACCTTCGATAAAATGTCCATCCGACATTGTTACGCAAACCGAAAAGGGCCAAAATTACGCGTACGTAAATTGGTCAGTACCAGAGGTGACAGATAATGGGAACGAACCACCTATAGTGTGGACGAAACCACACATCACTTTTCCTTGGAAGGCGAGGATCGGCACGCGCATTGTCGTATATATAGCGCAAGATGCGGGTGGAAACAAAGCCAGATGCAAATTCAAAATCAAAGTTCTCGGTATAGTTCAGTATTCTGAATCAATTGACTATCGGTTATATTTCAGCACTCTGAAATATAACCAAAAGTCAATTGTTCGCTTGACAACCCAAGTAGCACACGTCGTTTAGAAATGTCTCCAAAATGTTTTACAAACGATTGCAAAGTGTTACATATGTTTAGAAGAAATATGTGAAACTAATATGTGCTACTAGGGAAAGTTTCAATGCAATAGATATTTTTTTAAATGAACGTAGACAGGGAACCACCAACCATCGAGAATTGTAATGATCCACCAACATTTTACACTGACATCGATGAGGGTCTCAAGAACGTAATATGGGAAGAGCCTGTCTTTTATGACAACTCAAAAACCTCAGTGCAAGTTAATCAGAGTCATCGGTCTGGCGAAGGAGTCTTTCCAATTGGTCAAACGAGAATCTTCTATAGTGCTACCGATAAATACGGCAATCTAGCAAATTGTGTGTTGAATATTACAGTAGAAGGTACATTTATTTTATTTGTGTGTATTGCGCGACAGACTATTTTATTTCAATAATACATGACACAACTGAAGATAGTTTACTTCCAAATCGTTTTTAGTCCATAAAAATAATATTGAATAAATTACTAGGCTCTTGAATACTCAATTCAATTTAGAAACAGCTAATCTCAATCCATATTTAATTCTACATAATGTAAATTTTGCTAGATGTGTGTGAAAGCATGAGAGCACCTGTCAATGGCCGGTTAAACTGTTCTTCGACGGACGATCATGAAACACAGTGTGTTGTAGCCTGCAACGATGGCTACGGCTTTGCCATCGAACCAATGAATTTCAACAGTGTTAATGACGAACTGCTGTTAAAATGCAATCTGGCCAATCATACGTGGGAAAACAATGATCTACCGGAATGTTCGGGTATTTAAATTTGTTTAAATTTATTAAGAATTATTATAGACCCCCCTCCCGTCTTAATTAGATTATGACTCTAATTACTAATAGAAACACAAGTACCAAAGACGATATCTCAAGAAGGAAACGTGATACTGCAAGATAATGAGAACACAATATGCGGAAATCAAACTACCTTTCGTGAAGTAAACATTTTATTTTTTGCTAGCAAGTTTACTTCTATTTCTGTTGATGTAGAACGTCGCATAACTTGTACTACTTTTTCTTTGTGCGTAGTTAAGCGATCACATCAACAACAACTTGAATTTAAAATTAACTGATATTTGTGGCAATGACGTCGAGTGCAATTTGATCAACTTCGATCCTGAGTGCAAAAACGATTTATCACCATCAGAGAATTTTGACAATAACTTAATAAGAAGACGGAAGCGCCATTTTGATAATAATTTTACTCGATCTACGAATATTGCCAGAAACAATGAAGTAATAATGATTAAGAGACTAAAACGTACAGTCAAACTTAATTCTAACTCTTATCAAAACAAAACTAGGCTCAAGCGAAAAAGAGAAAGGATAGAGATTAAATTCAAATTCATAGGTAAATGCTGAATTTCACGTGCATTTCTCCTGTCGAGGAGAAAATCTCCCTGGCGCTTGAATAATGCATTAAGAAATTTTCTCAGGTAGAATAATCAATGAAAACTTTGAGAATCCTAAACGGGGAGTGCAGAAGCTACGAGAGAAGATCAGTGCGATGATGCAGCTGGGGAAATTGGATTTACTTAACAACAGGACTAATCAGGAAATTGCGAAGCTCGCCTTGAATTTGCATCTCGTATTCAAAGAACCTCAGCACCTCTGTGATCTTGGAAGCGTGCTCAAGAAATACGGCTGCGGTGAGTTTTACACATGTTTTCTGTTGTATGGAATAACTTTTATATTTTATTAGTGTACACTGCGGGAAGAATTACTTTAAAATCACCAAATATTTCTTTGATGGGTGCCATAAACATTATGCGCATGCGAATCCAGCGTGAGATAACGTTTTTTCAGATAGGAAGATAAATAAATTGATAATATCCTATATAAACATTTCAACTCTCTTGATATTTTTTATAGTGAAGTGTTCCGCGGGTACTTTTTACAATTCTACCACCAAGGTTTGCCAGCCATGTCCATTTGGACAGTACCAGAATGTAACTGCTTCATTGAAATGTAGATCTTGTCCAGAACATACTTTCACGAAGAGGATGCATGCGAAGTTCTCAAAAGATTGCATTCGTAAGATTTTAATCGTATATATTGGATTAAATGTATTATAGCATATATTTTTCTTTAACCCATTAACACCCAAATGTGCTGAAATTTTACGTTGATTTGAGCCATTTATTTTACTACGGAAATGAGGTACTACGAAATTGTTTTACTATGTAATTACTATGTAAATTACTATGTAATTTTGTAGTAATATTAACTCTAAAACAATTTCGATAACCAAATATAAACGAAAATTCGAATTAAACGCTTGAAATCGACCGCTAATGTTTGTTGAAAAAAATGCCTATGGCATATTTTTTAAGTTAAAGTATCGAGAACATGTTTTAAACATTTTCCCAAGCGATACTAACACGTTTTTATGGAGAAAATAGCGGAAGAAGAAAAATTAGCCCTAAAAACATGCGTTTTTAATTTTATTTTGCAAAAATTTTGCATAAATTGCGATTTTTTTTTAAATTTTCTCAACGCTATTCGATAGAACGACATTGAAATTGGTAGAAATGGTACTCTTTATAAACAACAGACCTTATTTCCGTAGTAAAATAAGCGGCTCAAATCAACGTATAATTTCAGCACATTTGAGCGTTAATGGGTTAATTTATTTTTTAACCTTTTAAGACGCATAATTCATGAAACATTCTAATAAGTAACTTTTTTAAAATAACATTCTAATAAGTAACTTTTTTAAAATAACATTCTAATAAGTAACTTTTTTAAAATAAAATATTGTCAAAAACACTCTAAATAGTACATTTATAAGGTTTCAACTGGCCCGATCTTAAGTGGTCCCTATTGGTACCAGTGATACTTAAAGGGTTAATAAATAGGTATATACCTTGGAATAAAAAATAAGCCAACGTTGATTTCTGTAGACTTTAGTAATAAAAATTTGCACGAAATCGTTTAAAAATGTGTACATATTCTTGTATACATATATATATATATATACATATATATATATATATATATATATATATATATATACATATATACATATATATACATATATATATATATATATATATATATATATACACATAAGTGTATGTACATATTCTTTTTTATAGCCGTGTGTCGAGCAGGATATTATTCTCGACGTAAACGTTATCAAGGCTCAGGCATGGCCATGGAGCCTTGTGTTACATGTGACATCGGTTTTTATCAACCAAACTATGGGCAAACTCAGTGTTTTTCATGTCCATTGAATACAACGACGGAGAAACGTGGCTCAACAGATATCGGACACTGTTCGCCACTCTACCACAAGGAAATTGACGATTGTCGGGTGGATCTGTGCTTAAATGGAGGTCGATGTCTTCAATCCGAAAGTGATTTTGTTTGTGCATGCGAAGAATATTACGTAGGTAAGACCCAATCATCTAACTGTAATAGTGAGACAATAATATCAGGTTAATTTTTTTTTAACTTATATATAGTACTTTAATTTTTTTTTGTTTTATCAGTACATTATACACACACTTATGTATATATATACACGGATTGTTTCTTGATTAGCACCTTCTAATTACATACAGGTAGTATGTAGCTACTTTTAATTAAAAATATTTATATATAATACTTTCTTCGCGGTCTTATACTCGTTCAGGATCAAAATGTGAAAAGTTTAGAAATCCATGCGATTCTTCGCCGTGCTTAAACGAAGGGGTATGTAAGATGCAAAAGCAGTACAATAACTCTATAACGTACAATTGTACGTGTAAGAACAGTTACACAGGAGTTAATTGCGAGGTAAGCTAACGAAACTTAACACGAGTTCATAATAACATGTGATAAATTCTGAACATCTAAAGTCGACAAAAATTTACACTCGCTTAAGTAAGTGCTTATTTTTACTTGTGTTCTACAGATTTATATAGACGAATGTTCTACTAACCCGTGTAGAAATGGTGGAAAATGCGTGAGTACCGAAAACGACTTTGCCTGCATTTGCAAGGATGGATTTGAAGGTATATTTCTTGTTAATATATTTATGATGAATTTTTCTTCTACTTTTCTTTCCAAATAATGCTCTATGCTTCTTTTATTCTTCACTTATTTCTTTTTTGCTTTATTAGTGTTTTCTCGCTTACTATGTTCTCTATTTCAACACTCCTTTCTTTATTTGTGACTTAATTAAAAAATTTTTGATATTTTTGAATTTTATAATTCTACGGATTCCTCTTTTTTCTATGAATTTTATAACAAATTTTATAATTGTATGAATTTCTTGTGAATTTTGCTTCATTAGTATTTTCTCGTTTACTATATTCTCTCTTTTGATATTTTTTCCTATACTTCCCAGACAACATAATGTCTAAAATCGGGACATAAGACGTCTTAAGATCATCTTTAAGATGTCTCTTAGACGATTTACGTATAAATGTCTTTAAGGCGTCTTAAAGATTATTTTTAAGACGTCTTATGTCTCGATTTTAGACATTATGTTGTCTGGGTTGTGAGTTGCTTCATTTAGAAATTTTGAATATTTTTGAGCTTTTTATAATTCTACGAATTTTTCTCTCTTCTATGAAATTTCTATATAATATCAAATACATTTTTGCGAACATACTTCCACAAAAGTGCATTTAGCGCTATATACGTTCATAGAATATAATTTATTTTTCGAACTCTATTATTTAGATCAGTTTTGCGAAATACCGATGGATCATTGCGAACTTATGCCCTGCGAGGAAGGATCTACGTGTCACACCATAAACGGGACCTGGAAATGTTTCTGCAAGCCTGGATTCTTAGGACGTCATTGCAATTTATTACCCTGCGACTGGCTGCCGTGTCATGAGAATGCGATTTGCGTTAACATCAAAGAGGCGAATGCGACACGAAGAAGTTACAGGTAACTTAGTGCTTCGCGTCTGATTCGAAATTGATCGTACGTGAAATTGCATGTACGTATGGTCGGTTCAGATGCGAGTGTCCCGAGGGATATACAGGGGAAAATTGCACGACCAAGATCGATCACTGTGAAAGTTCGCCTTGCTTAAACAACGGAAAGTGCATTAGCCATGTTCACAATTACATCTGCGAGTGTTCAGTTCCTTTCACAGGTCGCAATTGCGAGACGGGTAGGTGGGAACATCACGTATTTCTTAAATAAAATAGTTTTAGATAGATATAAAAAAAAACTCACGGAATTCTAATCAGGGACATTTTCGCATCAATCGTAGAATTGTCGTCTGATTATGCGATGCACTTTACTAAATCCGGTACTATGGACTACGTCATCATGAAAGGACCTACGAAGGATCTGTTCCAGGTGTGCAAGCTATCCTACTTAAAAAATGATACAATTAGGAAGAATATAAGAAAATCTATGTAATTGAATCGTGTTTTTGGTAGAAAACGATAAAATTACATAGAGAGGACTAAAGAAATATATATTAAACAAAATATTTAATCGTTTAGTATATATTTAATCATTAAAATAAGTTACGAGATATAT